AACTTATCAATTTTGCCATTTTTCGACCGCGTTCAATCTATGGTTCAAATCCTGTCGGGGCAGAATTTTTTTTTTGTTTTTTTTTATTTTTTTTTATTTTTTTTTTATTTTTTTTAGTTTTTTTTGTTTAGAAAATATGAAAATTGAATAAATACGATTATTGTTGATTATTTTTTTAAATACATTTTAATTATTATAGTAATAATAACCTTGGTTTTACATTTTTTTGATGACATTATTTTGTGGTCGTAGGAAAAATATTGTACATCACTTGTGTGAAAAGTGATTTTCCACACTCGTGTGATAGTCGCACTCGGCTTGCGCCTCGTGCGACTATATTTCCCACTCGTGTGAAAAATGTCACTTTCCACACTCGTAATGTAATATACTATATCATTTAAATCACGCTATTTTAAAAAGTGGCATTTATTATCAACAAAACTGACTAGCTCGAGTTTGATATAGGTATGTCATAAAAGAGTTATGCAAAAGTACAGACCCTTTTAGAACCGTCATTGCATTTCTTTACTCTATATCTATGATTTGAAAGATTCGTATGCCCCGCCCTACTTTGTGACGTCACTGTGTGAGTTGCGCAAAATAAGATGATTATAGTGATTTTAAGTAGGTCATTGTTCGTTTCACTGTTAACGTGTTGACATCTCTTTTTAGGTAGAAGCTTTCGGGAAAACATCTTACTCCCGCGGGGTTATAAGGAAAGATATATTCCCTAGGCAGTTAAAGCGATTCCTAGAGAGTGTAAATAGTGAGCACAATATTAGATCCAGTGCCAATTAACCGCTAAAAAATCCTCTCTAAACTTCCTAAAGATATTGAGAGTGTGGCACAAGCTGAAAATATGTTAGGAGAGACTATTAAAGAACTGTTTCAAGAAGCGAGATTTGGAAGAGCAGGAATGTCCAGTGGAGGGGAAAAAGAAATTATCAGTGGAACCTGGCAAAACTATTCGCCAAGAAGATATTGAACATATATCGTCGACACAAATCTCAAAAAATAAACCAAAGGAAAAATTAAGACCAATAAAAGTTAGCACTGTCAAGTTCTGAGAGTGATGAAGACGTATTCCCATCCTATTTGCAGAAGTGCAAAGATGTATGGTCTGCAAATCATAATTCTGATAATGTCCTCGAAATATTTTCTAACCTAAAAAATCAAGCCGTCGAGGACGATCCTCCTAAAGATGAACTGGTTGATGACGACTATGAGAACAGTGTGTGTGAAGCAGCAGACGTTATGAAAAACAGCAGCGGTGTCGTCGGAGTAGTAAAATGCGGTGATTATGTTGTTGTGAACTTGAAAACAAAAAGTGGAACCTCCAAGAAGTTTGTAGCTGAAATTTTTACGACCAAGTCTTAAAATCAAAAACAGCTATATATATCCAGTTAACGATAATATTGGACTTGTTGAAAGAGGTGAAATTATAAAGAAACTAAACATCAAAGAAATTCTAAGAAGAGGTCAATTAAAATTCAAGGAATTTTTGGATTAAATGTTTATATTTTTATTCGCTGTTACCCAGTTACCGGTTATTAATCTCAAAATAAAAGCATTTCAATAACTTTAAGAATTAATTTTAAGTTTCTACAATACCTATATTATTTAAGTATAATAAATGTTTTGTACCTAGTTTTTAATAAAGTAACTGCTTTGTTAATATTGAGATTCTACGAATAAGATAATACAAAAATTGTATTTTTAATGGATTTTCATGAAACCCACTGCTGCCCAGTGCAAATATTTTCATTTTCTCGTTTTCATCTAGCCCCTATGGCAATCTTACTTGCAAATTAGGACTTTTTAAAGCATGTTTTCAAATAGCCCGATCGCGGGGCTACTTGAAAATAAACATAAAATAATTTTTTCTCTAGGTCTGAAAGTTTAACAAGATAATTTTGGTTTTTGAGAGAATATATTTTGATGCCGACCGAGAGAAGTTTCCAAAAAGTTTTATAAGTAGCCCCGTTTTAGGGTAGCTAATCCCTATTCACTATATTTCACTATATTTTGGAAGCAAGCACATTTTGTCTATTGATTCGGAATCCGAGAACGCCCTTAATGTTAATATAAATAAAACTATAAAACCAATAAAGGAACTTACTCTGATCCTTGTGGCAGTTCACATATTGTACGGTGAATATATTTAACTATCTATTTAACTATCTATTTAACTATCTATATATGTAAAAACAAAATTGATTGTAAAATTTTGTATTTGATAACTATTGATTTAGGAAATATACATGATATTTTAGAATATGAAGTACTGTAAAATTATTAAGAAAAGCTAAATAATATTTTTCTGTCAATATCCCAGTTCCTATTCCATTTTTAGGTGAACTTTATAAATACATAATTTACTAAATATCTTCGCTTAACTTAGACATACCTTTTATTTCGATAAATTATTATCATTTAAGTGCTGGGCTTATTTTAATATTGTACGTATTTGATATATTGTATAACTTGTTTTACGAAGCAGGCGAGATTTTCAATTTATAAAATATGTTTTATGTAAACATGGTCGTGTATTTTGGGAAGTAAGCCAAACAGCCATTTGTTTTCTTTCTTGACGGTTTCCAGGAGAAAACAATATGCACTGAATGTTTCGTTGGTAAAATAGTCACATCTTCTATGATAAATTTGTCAAAATAATATTGCCTACGTTTTCTAGACAGCTGGTGGGAATGCCTGTTTTTCTATACCTACCACTCGAGTAATTGTTTAGAAGAAAATTCAAATATAGGAAGCCCTAGGTGCTGTAAGTGTTTGTTTTTATTAAAAAGGTAGACTAATGGCCATTTGCACCGACAATGTTAAAATATGAAATTTTATTGCATTGTAATTTAAGAACTGTTTAAGGGCCATATTCACCGTATACGTATAAGCTTCGCATATGCTTTAAGCTTGTTTAGCTCATATATTTTATATACACCGAAGTCATTATAGCACTTAGGCGAAAGATTAGTTGTCCCCATTTCTGGCAGCTGAAAATTACAAAGCAGAGCTTTGTCAAGTTACCCAAGTTAAAAAGATCGTTACTTTGATATTTTGTTTTATTTCTAAAGATATATTTATTTAAAATATGGAAGTGGAAGATGACATTTTTGTAAAGGACGTTGGATATAATAGATTTCGGTTTTCCACGCCGTCTTTATATTAGGCCAAATAATATTGAAGATATGGATGATTTGAGTTTTTGTCGTAGATTCAGTTTAACTAATCAAACAGTGATATCCGTATTAGAACTAATTATAGATCAACTAGAGTTCGAATACGACTTGTAAGTATTTTGATAATGATAAGACTGTCTTTTACTATATAATTATATATAGCGTATCTCCAATCAACCAACTTCTAACTGCTTTAATGTTTAATGCAAGTAGCGCTTATCAAATAAATAGTGATTTTATGCATATGGATCAAAGTACTGTTTCCAGTATAATAACAAAAGTATTTGCAACTATTGCTAGCCTTCGAAATCAATTTATTAAAATGCCAAGTACTCTTGAATAAATACTGTCATGCCAGACCAACTTTTACGAGGTAGTGCGATTTCCTCGTGTTATAGGATCTGTGGATGGGACACACATTAAAATCCGTTCACCAGGTTAGTTTACATTGTCCCTTAGAAACAACAAGATCACATGTACTTTTTTTAGACGGAGAGGATGGAGAGTTTTACAGAAATAGAAAATCCTATTTTTCTATTAATGTTCAATTAGTGTGTGATAGTGGACTAAAAATAAATAATACTGTAGCACGTTGGCCTGGTTCTGCTCATGATGCCACAATTTTTAACAATAACCGCTTGAGAATTAGGTTTGAAAGTGGAGAATTTGAAGATGGTATTTTGCTTGGTTTGCCTTTTTGCATAAAGTTTAATAATTCAGCAATAACTTTTTTTAGGTGACAGTGGGTTTGGACTGAAATCATATTTGCTAACACCACTTGCACAACATATAACACGAGCACAACAGTTATACAATGAGTTGCATATTCGCACAAGAAATTGCATTGAAAGGACAAATGGAGTGTACAAAAGAAAGTTTCTAGCATTGTGTTATGTACTCAGGTGCAATTTAAATACTGCACTTTCTGTAATGGTTGCAACAGCAGTAATGCATAACATAGGTCTAAATATGCATGAAGATGTGCCTCCACCCCTCAACCTAGGCATAAACATAAAACAATTAAATTATTTAATTAATCAAGGCCAAGTACCCGCAATCAATCTTCATGAAAATGTAATGTACGATTTTCGAAATGATATTGTAAATACCCATTTTGCGAATTTATAATAAAAGTATGTTCATTTTTGTATTTGTAAAATATTTTTGTTGTTTAAATTCTTGGTACACAGTAGAAAATGGCATTTTGTGTTGCAAATAATTCCACAGAAAAAATGAAGCTAGGAATGTGTTAAGTGCACTAGAACTATGTAGGTAATTTCCAAGTAGAAAGCTTACGATTTAAGCAAAAAACACTTTATTAAAAAAAAAGTAGCTAATACAAAAAATATATAAACTAACTACTATATTAATATAACCATACTTGGGTTTTCACATTTTAAAATAATATTTTAATAAAGTAAAATGGGAGCATTGAAAACAAAATTGAATTAGCTATTTGCTCTCTTTTTGGCTAATTCAATTTCAAGAATCTCTGTTTCCAGTTTTAATTTTTAGACCATTTTCCATTTTAATATGGCTAATAAGTTGTGTATCAACTATTTGTAGTCTCTTGTCAAGCAATAGATCATATTTTTTTGCAATATTTGAAGACGTCATAGATTTAATGACTGTTACTAGCCTTCTCCTCTGTATACTTTTACTGGGTGTCTAAAAAATTATTTTATGTAACACATACTAATTGAAATTATAGGAAAGAGGTGATATTAGTGATTTTGAATATCAATTCAGCATTAAAAAATAACCAACCACTTTGTTTTCACTAGGCACTAGTGGGGCACTCACAGGTGTCTATAATTGTACTGATGTATACTTTTTCCAAGGTTCCGTTACTGCATCACTGTCCATGCTCTGAAAACAATTTTCAGTACCTTAATAAGTTATGTCATTATAATTTATTAACTACAAGGTACAAGTAAATCTTCTACATACACAATTATCTAAACAAATACAGCTATAGAAAAGAAGAAAACTTTACCTGCACCTGTTTGTGAAGTTGATGGCTTATTTTCCAGTACATCTACTGCATTTACATATTCTAATATAAGTTCATTTGTTTTCTGATTTTCGATAACAGATTCATCAGCATCATCGTCGTAGGGAATATGGATCCCCATCAATGTGTTTTTATTAAGTATCGATAAAAGAACCTCGTCGGATTCCTCCTTTATTTTTTTTTTCAGGAAGCCCATCAATATAGTTTCTTTTCGTTCTTCAGCTAATGATTTTCTCAATTCTTTCTATTTTCATAGCTCTTTTTAAGTGCTACAGAACTTCTACAAACATTAATGCTAGATGCACTGAATTCGTTCTCAATAGCTTGCCAGGCTTTTTCCTTTAATACAGATGATGCTCGCTCTTCTATAATGGAAGCGTGCTTATTTGCAATTATATTCATCAGTCGAGCTCTTTCTGTGACTGTAAAATTAGGAAACTGGACTTTTTGTGAAGTACTCATATTTTACTTATTTATTAAAAACTGATTAAAAAACTGATAAAAAAAACTGTTGAACTGTTAAAAAACTGGTAAAAAAAACTGAAAAAAATGATAAAAAACTGATGAAAAACTGATAAAATACTGATAAAAAACTGATAAAAAACTGATAAAAAACTAATGAAAAACGTGGCCAGTGTAGTAACAGAACAAAACAGTTAGAATGTTAGAATTTTTTAGCTGTTGCCAAACTTCTGACTGGTTTAATAAAGCGAAGCTCAATATTCTACAGTGCATAGTATCAACAATTAAATGAAGCTTTATAATACAGCCTAGCCTAATTAAGCGACGCTTAAACAAAAAACGGTGAATATGGCCATGAGAGTTACTTTACAAAGCGATCAAATTTGAAACCCTAAAGCACCCTTATTTTTAAGTATTGATATGCCCATTTCTATCAATTTTAAAGTATAAAATGTCATTTGATATTTGTATTGTTTAATTGGTTTTGTTAAATTTCTATTTAATTTATCCTGGGCCTTGTTTTTTGTTTAATAATTTAAAACGAATATTTTATATATATTCTGGAAATTTTGTTACCCAAGCAGAGTACCTATACAAAAGGATAAACAATTTTGAAGAAAAGGATAATTTAGCGGTTTTAAAACCAAATTAATGTTAAGCTAAATTCGTCAAGTTACAAGGATAATCAACAAAAATCTCTAGAAGTAACTAGAAAAGCTATCCCCTACGCGGGGTTTGTTGGATTAGTAAAGTTAAGGAACCATTCGTTCGGTGCAACGCTTTCGCATTTAGGGGTTACTTGACATAAAGGTTACTTAACTAAACCACTCTTCAGAAATTGTCGGTGCAAACGGCCATAAGCGTCACACTTTTTAAACTTTACAATATTTAAGTTAAGTTTGTCATTCATTTAACGACCTTAAATTACCAATTAAAACAAAAAGTAAATAAATTATTCATTTATTTACCTCTAATGTACTAAAGCTATTTTTAGAACCTTTTATTAATTAATTTATTCCTATGAACACCGAATAATGGATCCGAAAAATAATAAACCTACAAATCATCCTGAATTTTTAAACTCTAGTGAGCTGCGAAAGCATCGTAATTTATTGATTTGTATTATATTATTTTTATATGAAATATTTAGCATGTGATAAACATTTAAAGATATGTTAAAAGATTCTGGCAGTTGTAGCATATTTAACGTTATTCCTATCAGAATTAGAAGGTTTGTATTTTGATCGTGTACCAGATCAACTTTCTTTAATTTTAAATGACATAGGCATAAAGGAATTTGGTTACACATTCTACGGTTTCAGCTAATCGTGAAGGATTAAAAAAACTGCACTGTTGGCAAGATTTGCATTTTTTCTATTGTAAAATATTCTGTTTGGATCATGATTTTTTGTATAAATAACTTTTTTTTAAAGTTATACTTATACGTTTTTAAGACCCAAATATTACGGCATTTATACTTAGATAAACAAATAAAATATAGATAAGTAACGGTCTGGATTTAATTAAAGTCAGTATATAACCTCAAAAACCTGGGTTATAGTGTACCGGGTTGTCGATACCAACCTTTCTGCCTTCGGCTTCACTCTGTAGTGGAGATGGGAGTGAGTTTAAAAATGATCGGAATAATTGAGCGCCAAGCCGTTATATCTTTTTCCAGATTCCAAAATTGACTTACCTCTCAAACGGCTAAACTGGGTAAATCAAACACAATACTTCCAATACACACCGATATATTTTATTTTGAGAGAAAGACTACAACAAGCAACGTAATGATTAAAATATGGCATAGGCAAAAACAAATTATCACTATCATAAATTTTGGGTAGCGCACAAGTCCAAAATATAATAAAAATATTGAAACACTAGTACTTACACATTAAGTATCTAAGCGGAGCTTTAAATAAATAAAAGTACACTAAAAGTGAATAACGCACGGCGGTTTTGGTACCAAAAACGACGGGTAAAAATTAATCGACGTTAGAGAAATAAAAATAAGTAACCTTAATTTCTGCTTTACATATATGTATATATAAAAGTAAAGTGGACCAATAATGCCAAGTAGGCTTTCAGTATACCCCCATTTACACAGTAAATCTACCCCAAACAATTTAACAAAATCCCTGAAATTAAATTAATAATGTATGCGCTACTTTTCCCAAATAAAGAAGAAAGACCTATATATAAAAAAAGAAAATCGGTGTGCGATTATATAAACTTAAATAAACAGGGCGGACTTAGCTAAACAAATCATGGCTTCTTCGCAGCTGCAGTCAACGATCTCGTAGAACAGTATTACCACACTAACTGATGCGGGCTGCTCAGTCCTTCGAAATCCACAGGTGATCCAAATCTCCATATGCACCAAATGGTGTTTTTCTTTGCCCCCCAAAAAACGTATGCAAATGGGGTTTTCTATACCCCCTCCAAGAAATGTATGCAAATAGGGTTTTCTATACCCCCTCCAAGAAATGTATGCAAATAGGGTTTTCTACAACCCCTCCAAGAAACCTGAAATAGCCAATAACACCGATTAAGGCCTCACTAGGCTATCCCTTGCAAAAAGATATAAAAAATACCATTAACTGTACCCACCCTTTTAATTTAAAATATACAATATAATAGTAAAATAAAAAAAACTTACTATTCAAATGTTTGAGATAACAAAAAAATAAGCTTACTCAATAATGAGTTGAACCCAAATAGCACCCATAATATTAACAAAGAATTTATATACCCTCCAACGACTAGAGAAAAGGATAAAAAAACGGTTTCTGCAAAAACTTACCCTTTTAATCAGAAAAGGGTCCAAATCCAAACCAACTTAGGTTCCTAACGAGCATAAGCGTGAACTGCGGTTATGGCCAAGGTGTTTTCCAAAGGGGCCAATTCAAAAATCCAACACGAGGTTGCTGCGAGGTAATGGCGGCCGACAAAACTCAACCACTAATATTCCATAAGTCACAGGCACCAAACCAAATTCCCTCACAGTAATGAAGAAAACGGGGACTAATCCTCCCTGATGAAGATGGCTCACAAACCATTAAAATCTTCCGTAATCCCGAGGATGCTCAACAGCCAAAAGCAAAACCGTCCAACTTAGCTATACCCATCAAACGTTCTTTTTAAAACACGCCGGCTTTAACTTCCCGTCTACCGAGAGAAATCGCCGTAGACCGAACGTTAGCATCCAATTACTTCTTGATCTAGTCGTCACCTGACCTCAAAAGTCTTTCTGACCAATCAACGAATTACCCGTGCTTACAAACCAAAATTATCAGAACTCGAATTCTTGAACACCAGAACTATTCACCACCGGCCGAGATACACGTGATTCTCAAAAATTAATAATAACGAAGGGTGTTGTCTTCGTCAAGAATACCGTATTACAACAAATCGATGAATCTATTGCTGTCTAAATACGACACGCACAAACCGTTAAATCACGTCGAGAATGTCATGAAACAGGCGAATATCAATTCCGGAGTGACACAATTTCTAATAAACAAACGAACGAACCCATAGCTGCAACGAACACAATATCAATTCCGAATGACAAGAAAAGCCTAATAAAGAACGAAAAAGAAAATCATTAACCTAACCATTTTGACGGAGACGTCAAAAATAACAACAAAGATATTATTTATTAGGTTTTCTACAACTTACCAAGAACCAACAGATAAGGACAGATTTAATATTAGATTGGGAGAATATGTGTAATTGGATGATATGAATCTATGACAATTTAGTAAATGAATATTGGAAATTTCGCTAATAACTTGAGTGAATGTTCGAAACACAGGATCTGAAAATGCGAAAGATGATGCGAAAAATGAAGAAAAAATTCACTATACAAGGTATGATGTATATTTAACTACTAAACAAGTACTGAAACAGGGTAATGAATTCAATAATAGCAGCAAAACTAAAATTTTAGGGACGGTTAAATTAATAGAATGAAAGTGACACGAACTCACTGTAAAAGAACACAGGGATATAAAGAAACGAAGAATGTAGCAAATAAACACCCTTATTTGGATAAAAAGGTAAGCGTAGACTAAAATTACACATACAATGGGCCATCAAATATAAAAACTGGATCGTTACAAGTATCTACCCTTTTTTCTATTACTTTCTGTTTCTTCTGAGTCTTTGATGTGATTCGTCTATTTTATTCACAACTTTCAACAAGCACTTGGGAATTGTCAGTTTTGGTTGTACATTTTGTGTGATTTTATATTCCCAGGGCATATTTTTAAAGTTTTCAGAGTTTCTAGTATATTATTTCAACTAATTTTATTAGTTGTAAGTCTAAAAGTTACTAATCAATGTATCTTTGCTCTAAAACACATTTGGAGAAGTTTCACGTCATTTCACAGGTAAGTAAATAAAAAACACATGCGGTACAAATTAAAGTGATTTTTTTCTTAAAATTTAACTATCCTGTATCTCAAAAGTTAAGGTGTTTAACACATACATTTATATGAAGTTTTCTTCTTAAAATGAGTCCAAGAATCACGCCCTTAATATTAGTATTAAGAAACACCCTTTATATGCAGTTTCTTAAACATTACTTTTTTATGGTGTTGCTAACTTAAGCCTACTATTATTTTGCTCCTAGCCACAGTAACACCTTCATCCAAGTTACTGGCTCTCTATCGCAACCCCATAGAATAATAATTACTTGACCATTTTATTTGGCAAAAATCGGAATAATGGTTGGCTATGCCTGTCAAGTATCAAATTGTCAACTGTGATGTGTGAACTACTTTTAAATGTTTGTATGTTTCTTTGATATTTATTTTTTACAATTTTTAACACATGTAATTTAAAAATAATTACACAAGTCAATAATATAATTTTTTCTGGTTATTCGAATTTGGTTGTTTCAAGGTTAAGGGAGTGACGGTTTTACTGTGACTTTCACATTTTATAAGCCTTTTGAGATGTCTTTGTTAACTGAATTTGAAAACGTGTTTTTT